GTTGCCCTGGAGATACAAGTGCAAGTTTTAGCCTGGTCCTTCTTTATCTGTTCTCTTGCCACCTACCCATTGCCCCAGACCTCTCTCTCCCTCACTTGTACCCTCTGGGCCAGCCATGTCAAACTGTATGATGTTTCCAGAACAGCCCCAGCTTCCACTCCACGGCAGATACGACTTCTCTGCCCAGAACCTTCCTCCTTCCCTATCCTATTTTCTTCCCTGAAGTCACTTCCAACATGGCCTCCCCCAGGAGGCCTTCCATGATCCCCTACCTCCAGGCTGATTAGGCCCAGCAGTCCCCTGTGCTGATGCCCTCAGTCAGGGTGCCACCCCTGGTGTGCACGTGCCCACATCCATCTGTCCAGCTCTCCCTCACCCTGTAGGCTGGGAGGCTCCAAGGGAGGACCTGTGCTTGATTCACAGCCCTGTATTCTCTGACCTCCACAAGGTTTTAGGGAATGACTGGCCTCCAGCTGCAGAAGTTACCAAGATTCAGGACAGGGAGGCAAAGGCTCCTTCCCTTAAAATGGTCTCGGCTCAGCCTCGTTCCGGGGCTTGTTAGCCTCACTCAGCAAAATCCCTTGGGTGGCCACACTCCTGGCACCCTCCTCAGCACCAGACCCTGGTCTCTGGCAGTGATATTGGGCACCCTGCCCGCTGTCTACGTGCCAAAGTCTTCTCAACCCTGCGGACACACGACGGTCACCTTGGGGCTTGGACTCTACCATTAGCGATTCTGCTGTAATGGGTCTGGGGCAGATCCAGAGCATCAGGATTGTTCAAAACGCTGCCCAGGTGATTCTAAGAATGCGTAGCCAGGTGAGAACCACTCACACCTAGTCATCCTAGAGTAGTGGTCCTCGTCCTATAGCTTGTATGTTATAGTCACCCAGAGAGTTCCTAAGACTCCCCGTGTCCTGGACCTACCGTCCCTAACCCAACAAATGAGAATCCACCAGGGTGGTAACAATCTTGGCATCAGCATTGAATCCTACAGGATCTTCCCTCCCTCCCTCCATCTCTCCCTCCCTCTCTTTCCTTGTTCCAGAAACAATTGCTGGGCTTATCTTTGGAGCTCTGGGAGCGCTGAGGTGAATCAGACCCTGCCCCTCCTAGGTGGGGGCTTAACGGGGCTTAACTCAGAGCTGTTAGGAAGGGAAGAGCCCGGGCCTCCCCACCGGCTCCCTAAGGGGAACGTGTCCCAAGGACAGGTGTGCTGGGCCCTGCTCCAGCTCCCAGCGCCTCCTCCTCTTCACCAACCTGCTGCTTCCCCGGAGATGCCCATGCTGGGTCAGCCCAGAGACTGGGTCTCTGTTCAGTCAGATCACATTAAGATGGGGGTTTCCCGGGGGCTTCCCCTGACCCTGCATGAGGCTGGCGGTGGTGACAGGGTGGGGCTGCGGGTCTCTGTTCTCTCCTTGGCACACGCGAGCTCTGCAGCTGTCCTTTGTCCGGGGCTGCACCTGCAAGCATGTCTGTGTCTCAGCCAGCCCCACGCGCGGCTCTGGTGAGGGCATGCCAGCAGGACTTTAAGGGCCTTTTGATGGAAAGAATCAACCTGGGCTCTGGGCATTTTTAAAAAATTGAGGTAAAATTCACATATAAAATTAACTAAAGTGAAAACTTCAATGCCATTTAGTGCATTCACAATATTGTGCAAGTACCACCTCTACCTAGTTCCAAAACATTGTCCTCACCCCAAAAGGAAACTCTGTTCCCATTCCCCTTCCCCCCAGCCCCTGGCAGCCACCAATCTGCATTCTTTCTCTTTGAACTGACCTATTCTGGATATTTCTATAAATGGAGTCACATAATATGTGGCCCTTTATGTCTGGTGTCTTTCACTCAGCGTGTTTGCAGCGTCCATCGACACGTGTAGCATCTATCAGTACTTCATTTTTTTTGCGGATGAATAATATTCTATTGTATGGATGGACAATGTGTTTATTCATTTATTAGTCCACGGACATTTGGGCTGTTTCTGCCTTTAGCTACTGGGAAATCTGGGCATTTACAAGTCCTTATATCTATGCTCCAAACATCAGCTGACCCAGGTATTCCTAGGTCCTTAGCATTAGCCAGAGGTCTGTGGTGGCCCCTTCCCTGTACTAAGCAAATACTATCTTCGAGGTCCCCGAAGGGGTGTATGCATATGTGGGGCATCTCTGACTCCAGCTTCCAGCCTCCACTGACATCTCCAACTCTCTCCACATCTTACCCGGGTGATTCCAGTCCGGTCTCTGCACTCTCCCATCCCACCCCACCCCCACCCCAATCTTGGACAGGAGGCTGGTGCGTGTGCAACTGGCTGCAGCTGAGGGGTCAGCATGCAAATGGAGGGGCGGCCAGCGCCCTGTGCTGACAAGAGTTTAGAAGTGAATTTTGCATGTCACCATCTGAAAGGAAAAACTGCTTTTTCTCCATCCTTCCACAATACTTCTGACATCAAACATGCGAGGTGTTCCCCACACCAGGTAATTCTCCAATTCTCAGGGGACGGCGACTAGATGTTCTATAATTTAACTCGCCTCTGACACGAGCTGCTGGGGTTAGCGCACACCCAGCAGGTGAAGGGCTCCGTCCCACAGACTGTCCCAGTTCAGATGCCAGTCCCAAGTCCCATGCTGTGTCCGCGCTCCTGACCAACTGGCTATTCACTGGCGGCTCCTGCTATCTCTTCCTCAGTTTTAATAATTTGCTAGAACAACTCACAGAACTCAGGAAAGCGCTTAATATTAGTCTTCTTGATTTATTATGAAGGATACAGATGAACAGCCCCCGGAGGGGGTACACAGGATGAAGCGTGGAAGGGTCCTGAGCACAGGGGCTTCTGTCCCCATGTAGAGTAATGGGGTGAGCCACACTCCTGCATATGGACGCGTTCTTGTTCACCAATCTGGAAACTCTCTAAATCCCTTCAGTTAAGGTTTCTATAGAGGCTTCATTACATAGGCATGATTGATGAAATCACTGGCCATTAGTGACTGAACTCAATCTCTCCCCTCCCCCTGGGTGAGGGGGTGCGGTCAGAAGTTCCAACCCTTTAATCCCATGGGTCGCTCCCTGGCAACTGGCCCCCCTCCTTAGAGGCTTTCCAAAAGTCATGTCATTAACATAAACTCAGGTGTGGTTGAAAGGGGCTCCTTATGAATAATAAAAGACTCCTTTCATCTTTATGGATCTGGGCTATTTCAGGAACTCCGCACAAAACCCAAGTATTAGAACAAAAGATGCTTCTAGTGCTCCTATCATTTAGGAGATTTTAAGGGTTTTAGGAGCTCTGTGCCAGGAATTGGGAACAAGACCCAAATATATATTTTTCTTATATCATAATAGCGCACTGTCCTAAAACTTCATACACACGTGCACAAGGTATTTCTCACGGACAGTGTCTGCCCATTGGGTTTGGATGGACACCTCCCATCTCCATCTTCCTCTTGGCTTTTCCAATGCCTCCCACCCAGTATTTAAAGCTGCCAACAAACAACTCCGTTCATTTGGAGCAACATAGACTTCTGTCTTCTCTGGTCCGCATAAACCATGACCTGGGGTGGAGAGGAGATGGGATGGGGACCCCCGAGGTTGATTTTATTTTTCTTCTGAATCAGAAGAAACCTCCTCTCCACGAGAGGAATTCTGCCAAGTGTCTGGGCCAACTGGCTCAAAAAGCCACCAGCTTTTAAAAATAGCACGAAAAAGAATTCTGCGTGTAACGCTTAGGTGCCCATGTCATGGGATTACCCTACCACTTTGTACACGGGGAGTGGGATGGGGTTGGTGTAAGCCTGGAGGCACCTCTGAAATTAACCATCTACTCCTTTCTGGTAAATCCTGTCTGTTTAGTCTTGTATTATTTTTTTAAAGTTTGCTCGTAGATAATGGTTAGGAGCTAGGCTTTCACTGTGAGCAATTTGGACACCATGAGATGCTTCTGAGCAGACAAGAGACATGACCTGACTTAGATTTTGAAAGGACCTCCCTGGTTGCTGCATGTGACTGCATCGAAGGGGGCGAGAAGGCTGCTAGTTAGAGGCTGCTTTGGGACTAAAGGTGAGAGGTGGTGATGACTCGGCTGGGTTGGAGACAATTGGGAGGTCAGAAGCCATCAGATTATGGGATATATTCGAAGGCAGAAACCATAGCTTCTGATGGAGGACTGGATGTAGAATATAGGAAAAAGCGTTGAAGATGACTCCAAGGGGCACCTAGGTGGCTCAGATGGTTAAGTGTCTGTCTTTGGCTCAGGTCACGATCCCAGGGTCCTGGGATCGAGTCCTGCATCAGGCTCCCTACTCAGCGGGGAGCCTGCTTCTCCCTCTCCATACGCCTCTCCCCCTGCTCGTGCTTGCTCTCTCTCACTCTCTCAGATAAATAAAAATAAAAAAAAAAAAAAGAATGACTCCAAGATGTTTGGCCTAAGTGACTGTAAAGGTGGACTTGGGGAAAAATGTAGACAGAACAGATGTGGGATGGCGAGGAGCAGGGGTTTAGTTTGGTCACATGTCCTACAGAGGTGAAAGAGGCAGGTGTATCTGAGATTAGAATTCAGTAGTTCTAGGGAGGGCGGTGGTGATGGAAAGCAGAAGCACCGGAAGTGACAGGTGGATTAATGACTGCCCCCGCCACACACCCCACCGCCCCCTGCTTCAGGCTGTGCACCCGAGCACACACACACACTTAACAGGAAAAGTGAAAAACAAAAACAAAAACAAGAAAAGTAAATGAGGGGGGAAATCACACCTTGGGCCAAGAAGGAGTTTCAGAAAGTATCTAGCAGAAGGGGGAAACCGAGGCCCAAACAGTACAGGTGCTTTCCTCCAGGTCACACTGCAAGTTAGTGGCAGTGTGAGACAGAACCAGTTCCTCAGGCCTCAGGCCACCCCTGCTCTCTCTGACATATCACTTTGCCTACCGGCTCCAGGATTCGAAGGCTGCCTGTGTGCTGGCCTGAAGGCAGGTGGGACTGAGGCTAGATGACTCTCAACGTTGTTTTCCTCCAGGTCACCATTCTTGTCAGCCTGGCCCTCGCTTTCCTCGCTTGCATCGTGTTCCTGGTGGTTTACAAAGCCTTCACCTATGACCACAGCTGCCCAGAGGGATTTGTCTACAAGGTAAGAGGCTTCTGGCAGGTGAGTGGCCCCAGGTGACTGCCAACCTCAATTAGAGGGTTTATCAATGTCTTCTCTTCACTGGCATCCAAATTCGGGGGACCTCCCTGCACACTACTGAAAATGTAGTCTGTGTCAGGCAAGGGGTTTCACGAAGGACTTGGTTTCCTTCCAGTAGGCAGTAGAGTTCTCCCTCCCAGATGGTGCTCCCTGGAGTCAGGAGTAGGAGGTGGTCCAGCTTCAGGCTGGAGGTCAGCGGGCAGGGAAGGCTCACTCCCGCTTGAGATAGGCCAGTCCATCTTCAGAAAGCTCTGCCTTGGCACCCATCTTCCTGGTTTAGTGTCCAATTCCCAGTTCCTGTGGTGGGAGTGGGTGCTTTCGAAGTCTCTTGAATCCTTCTGTTGGGCCTGTCCCACTGAACCCTGCTCTGGTCGCACCCCTTCCGTTGAAGAACCGAACCAGCTGCGTGACTCTGGCGTGTCTCTTCGCCCCTGAACCTCAGTTCTCTTGCCTGCAACATGGGCACTGGTAACACCTGTCTGCAGGATTTTTGTGAGGCCTTAAGGAGAGAATTTAAGTTAATAAAAGACCTATTAGGTAATGGGCTCTCAATGAATATTAGTTGTCATAAAGACAGAATCTGTTCTACAGCAAAAACGGGTGATTCAGATATTTATAAATTGCCATTTACTGCGCACCTATAGGCTGTAAGTCACAGCCTTTCCTCGATATTTTCATAAACATTGTCTCAGTTGAGCTGTACATGCATTCTGAAAAATAGGTTTTATTGCCCCCACTTTACATACGAGGAAACAGGGGAAGAACGTGTAGGACAAGAGAGTTTTCCAAACCGTCACATTACATTCCTAAGTGAGGGAGTCAAATGGGGTGTGTCCTGCCTTAGAAACACACGTCCTTCAGTTCTGCTCCGTGGCTTCTTCAGACTACATTCCTGGCGGTTAAAAGCTGAGGTTCTCAAAGAGGCAACAGCTCTCAAGAGGGGACAGTTGAACGAACGATGACATGTTCACACAAGGGATTTCTGCGCAACCGTGAAAATGGGCGGGAAGGCCTCCAGACCCGGGCCTGGAATATCCTCCAGGACAATAAGGACGAGAAAAAGCACTGAGGAGGGGAAGGATATTTGCTTATACTTTCAGAAAGAAGTGCTAGAAGGATAAATGAAAACACTAGGACAATGGTTACTCGGTGTGGGGGCTGGAGGGGGAAGAGAGTGAAGGGGGCAGGGAAGAGGAGCAAGGCTGCCCTGGGTACAGCTCGCCATCCACCTGTCCTTGCTGTCTGTGAACGTCTGGGGGCGTACCTAAAAAATCAACAACAACAAGTCATTCCTCAAAGTCAAAAACAAGCTTAACAGAGAACCTGGCTCTATATTAACTTGGGGACATAAACGTACAAAGAAAATAAATATTCCAAATGAGCAGAGTGCATTGACTGTACACCCACAGAGGAATATGGTCTAAGGATACAGAAAGTTATAGAGAAATCTTAAAGTTGATTCAATATTCTAACTGTTGGTCGTAATATTCGTGTTATTTTGTCACCATTTGATATATGTTGTAGGATAACGCAAATAGACCATTCTATCAGTGTTTGTTGGGAACCAGAGATTTGGATCAAAGAGAGAGGAGTTACAAATATAAAATCAAAGAAATAAAACAGACAGCCATAGGCTGAAGCCATGGCCCAGAGAGGCAGCTGGGGGATGGGTGATTGAGCTGAATCAAGAGGTGGGGGTGGGGGGGTGGGGATTGGTGTCCTCTATAGCCTCACAGTCACTGAGCAGAGGACCATGGATTAGTACCAGCCTCAGGTTTCTTTCTCTCTTTTTTGTAAATGGAGGGATAATTGACATATAACATGTTAGTTTCAAGAATCAACGTGATGATTCAATATCTGCATATATTTTTAAATGTACGTCTAGGTAACATCCATCACCACACAGTTACAAAAAAAAATTTTTTCTTATGATAAGAGCTCTTAAGATCAACTCTCTTAGCAACTTTCAGATATACAAGACAGAGTTCTTAACTATAGTCACCATTGTCCATGGCATCTGCAAGGCTTATTTATTTTAAAACTGGATGTCTGTGCCTTTTAGCCACTTTCACCACCTTCACCCCTGCCCCCAATCCCGCCGCCCATTCCCTAGCCTCTAGCAACCACCAGTCTAGCATCAGGTTTATTTTTTCTGAGGTCGAGTAGGTGGCAGCTTTGAGATGGTGATGGTGATGATGTTGGGGAAAGAGTCCTGAGGGCCGGGCCCAGGCCAGGTGACATCACCTGCCCTCCGGTACAGAGCCTCCTGTGGCTGTGGCCTTAAAACACAGGGTGGCCGAGGTGCAGGTTGAGTTGGAAGCAGTCCGCTGAGCTCCCCCTGACTCTGTCTCTCTCGTCCTCAGCACAAGCGCTGTATCCCGGCCTCCCTGGATGCTTACTACTCATCCCAGGACCCCAACTCCAGAAGCCGCTTCTACACGGTCATCAGCCACTACAGTGTGGCCAAGCAGAGCACCGCTCGGGCCATCGGGCCGTGGCTGTCGGCGGCGGCTGTCATCCATGAGCCCAAGCCGCCCAAGACCCAGGGCCATTAGAGGCCCACCCCCAGCCAGAATGGGGGGCACAGAGGGGAGCCCCCCTGTCGGCTAAGCCAAGCTCCAGTTACAAGACACCACTGTACTCCTGGGATATGGGGGCGGGGGTGGGGCCGGGGTGGGTGGGGGGGAACTCACCGAAAATATCGTGCACTGGAGTTGTCTGAATCGATATTTCTTTTTGTCCTTTGGTATTGTTGATTCGTCCCCAAGTCAGGATTATGTACAAAGGCATGTTTCGTGTTGATTGTTCCCATGTAAGATATTTTCAAAGCCACTGCTTATTACTTGTTAGGAAAATTTAAAAACAGAAAAGGAAACAACATGGACAAAGAAGGATTAAACTGGCTGCATCTGGAAGACGTTGGTGGGCAGTAAAGAGCACAGACTCTGGGCTTCTTCAGTGAGAAGCCGTAGTTTCAGTGGGGGGTTTGGAAGGTACAGAAAATGTGAGTGATGCAGGCTGGGGCTACGTGGTTGGCCCCTGCTGTGCAGGAGAGGAAGATAGGAAGTCAGGACCAGCCTATTTAGAGAAGAGGGCTGATTTTGGCATGGTTAAGCTTGGGACGCACACAACCCAGAGTCAAGAGCACCCACCGTGGGTGTGTTTTGCCAAGTTAACACAGACTGTCCATACAGGAATCTGAGCTGGGGCTTGGGCCGGCGCATGAGGCCTGGGGATGCATAGTTGCAATCAAACCCTGAGCAGAGGCAGACTTTCTCTGTCTTTGTCTTGCGTGCCTAGATCGACACCCGGATACTGCCTATGTTTAAGAGACGGCAGGGGTAGGAAGGGAGAAGGGACGAGAGGCCGCAGGACGAAGCAAGGCACGGGACAGGCGTACCATATGTGGCCAAGCCATAAGCACAGGCACCACATTTTACAAGTCTTGTTTGCTTGTTGTTTCCCAAAGTGCTAATAACAATTGGAAGAGTGATGAAGGTCATAACCGGGAACCGCAGGTAACAGCCAGGGAGACTTTAAGACCGGGGTTGCAACAATGCCAAATCACCCCTAAAGGAAGCTGAAAAATGTGACCATCTTTTGCCCACTTGTTGTATTGACAGCCGTTGGACAAGCACCCAAAGTCCCCAGTCTAGTTCTAGAAGCTCCTGACTAGGGGGGGCAGCGTCTGGCATTGACCAGGGCTCCCGCTGCACTGGGACCACATCAGGTACTCCCATACCGCTCTCCTGCAAAGGTTTCCGGAAGGCCCACTCAGTGGGATGTGGCTCCAGGCCTGCAGGGCCAGAAATGGCTGGGAGAGTTGGTTATCTGAGATGTAGTACTGTTTCCCCACGAAGCTGCGACAGGCCGTTGAATGGACATTTTCTCCTGGCTTGCTATGTTGCCAAAATCATACACAACAGCTGGGTAAGAAGACTAGCATCGCTCAAACTATCCTGCCAAGTGCTATCATCTGACTCTCCTCCTCCCACCCCATCATCTCAAGTCACCTGTAAATTCATTTGTCATCCGAAGCGGAATAACAAATTGTCCCTAGCAAAACCGCTGAGCGCTTTATAATTTTGTGGTGTATTTTTGTCAGTAGGTAGCAGAGGCTGAAGTATTTTTTGGTGTAATTCTTGAACTTTTCTGACAGGAAACAAATAAAGATAGATGTGTCTGAAATTCTTGACCTTCCTTTGCAACTTTCCTCACCTTTTGTTCAGTGAGCCTGGTGGGAAGATGCCGGGGGCAGGGATCAGTCCCCGAAGATAGGGTGGGCTGGGGGGGCAGAGTGTCTTGTGGGGCTGGGGCTGGAATTGGGCTGTGGGGGACCTTCATCCTCTGGCAGGTGGGCCCTGAGATGATGCTGCGGTCAGAAGCAAGGACTAAGAGATACACCTGGCCACTTGGCTTGCAGTGCACTGTCCTTCACCCCGTGAGTATCTGCTGAGCACCCATGGAGGGCCAGGCTATGCTGGGCACGGAGCATTCAGGGATGAATGATGCATAGTCAACACCCTGACATCTGGAGATGGAGTTGGACGTGGACATAGATGCTGGCAAAAGAAGAGTTTGAGGATGCCACTGGTATAATACAGTTGGCTGTTAGCCAACAGCTTGAGGAAGAAGGTCATGAGTGATCAGTGGGGTCCTCTTCATAATTAGCTTTAGGTTTATTATAACCATGGCAGGGCATAGTTATTGACCCCCATTTCACAGATAAGAAGACTGAAGCTCAGAGGGATGGAGAGGTGCCCTAGGGCCATAGAAGATGAGCTGGGATTCGAACCCAGGTGTGTATGGCTCCTTTGCCCCCAACCTGCTTCTCTAAGACCTTGAACAACCCTGTCAAGGTTATAGTTCATTCCCCCCCTAAAGTCAGGTCACTGTTATCATAAAAGCAAACTAGCTTACTCTCAGCCAGAACTCAGTATTAATGGTTAGTGTTAAGGATAACAAACATGTGCGGTGCCTGGCTGGTTCAGTTGGTAGAGCATGCGACTCTTGATCTTGGGATTGTGATTTAGAGGCCCCCTCCCCCGACTAATAAAGAATAGCAAACACGTGAACGCCCCTTGCTCCGTGCCAGGTACTACGTGTGTCATATAACCCTCCATCAGCTCCATGAGGTAAGCACCCTCATCATCAGCGTCACTGTTGTCACGCTGTCATCCTCACCCCCACTTTGGGAGGGAGGCACGGAGGCATGGAGCAGTGCCCCAGCCTGTACAAGGCCACGTGGTTAGGAAGCCGCCACCGAGTCATGATTCTAACCCACAGGTTTTGGGACTGGTGTCCTAACCGAGGTGCCATTCAGCAGTAACCGCTCATCCCTATATTTTGCTTGGTAGTTTATGGTTTGTGTTTACAGCTCTTCTCAAACTCAGATGAAGGTGCGTTTGAGGGAAAGGCTGGGATTGACTTTGGGCAGAGTTGGAGGCTGAGGCTCCAAGTTCATTGCTGCACCGGGGATTATGGCCATTCATGCACGCCTGGCGGGATGGAGAAGGAAGAGAACAGGGCTCCCGTCCTTTGGGGTGGCCCACGCTGCTGAGTTCTGGGGTGAGACAACCCTACCCGCACCCACAGAGCCCTGCAATTCAGCCTCTCTTCAGGCCAGGGTGAAGCCAGGGCAGGGATCTGGGCCGGCAGACCACTCGTTGAGGCAGGCTGATCCATACGGCCAAGGCGTAAACACCCACTATTTTTTTTCAATTACACAAAGTCAACTAAAGACTTAATGAACACATGTTCAAACATTCTGTCATAAATGGATCTGCCACTCCATTGCCTCAAAAAATAAACCAAAGCCATGTTTTCTCTGGAACGAAGAGGCTATGGTGTGTAACTGGAAAGGAGGCACAGGGTGGGGGACAGGGGATGGGCCACAGACACTTCTGTTTTTAGGGGCAACCCTGGGGCCATGCTTTCTGCTTGGTAGAGTCATACCTTTCTCAGCAGAAAAAAAGAGGATACCTAACTCTTCCCATAAGACCCAAGGAGTGGGAGATTAGTTCTAGAAGAGTTTAACCAGCGGGGGTTTGGTCAGGGAAAAGCTGCTCTGGTTTTTGGAGGATGGGGTTTTGCAGAGCACCACTGGCTGATGGAGAGTCAGGAGAAGACAGGAAATCACGATAAGCCAGCCCCTTGGTCCATAGGATCAGCTCCGTCTGTGGCTTTTGCACCCTCTGTAACCTACTCACCGACACTGGGAACCGCTCTCTTGAGAGGCTCCCGGCTGACCGGGAGAGAAGACAGAAGGAAGGTGTGCAAGAGAGGTGGAGGGGAGGGCCGGGCAGTGTGGCTGTCAGCCGCGGGTCCCTGGAGGACCGGGCCCTAGACCTGGGCCTTGAAGGACGGCTTGCGTTGTGATGGAGAGACTTCATGAGGGTGGAGAGAGGGCGCCACAGAGCAGACAGCATTCCCGGGTAAGGGGATGTCTCCTCCGTGCCCGTGCTGGATGCAGAGATGAAACAGGCCCAGGACACAGCTGCCACTCCCCTGTGGCTCCCGGGCCAGGCCAGGGGCAGGGGCAGGGGCAGGGGCCAGAAGAGACCATTGCTGCACCGCGGGGACAGGCCATGATGGCACCACGGTAATCCCAGCAGGCAGGCAGGTCCAGAGGTGTTCAGAGAGATGTACGTTTTTCTTGGAAAATCGAGAGACTATCTGTCAGAACTGTTATTGATCAGTTTATCGTGCCCCCCCATCCCTACCTCATGTTCTAATCTGACTGGGGAGTCATGTGGAAGAAGGAGAAGAAGACATAAATCCCTGATCCTTTTTCCAAGAAGCACACATCACCATCTCTTTAGAAAAATAGTGTTCCCAAACAGTTGAGGGAAAAAGACTGGTTTCCATGGCAACATCAATGTCATTCCCCATAGACCAGCCTCAAATCTGGCACAGCGGGGTGTTTATCTGATTCTGTCCTTTTGTCAGAAATGATCTGCTTCTGAGAACCCAGACCCAGAGTTCATTAGTCATAGTTGCCCTCAAAGGTGGCCATCCCCTCCCTGGACACTCTTTGCCTCCCTGTGTTCTCTCTTTGTCTTTCCCTCTCTGTGCCTGTCTGCCTCCTTCCAAAGGAAGGATGTCTGGAGGCTGTGGACCGAGTTGATGTAATTTATATTTCAATTCGAGGCCCCCGGTGAGCGCTGTGCTGGGCGTGGGCGGCAGAGGGGGAAACAGAGTCCCTGGGAAGCGCACGGCCTCCCGGTGCCGTCCTTCCTGTAGCTGTGGCCTCGGCTAACTCCGTTTCCCCCTCTCAGCTTCAGCCTCCCCATCTTTAAAATGGGGACAAGAACTGTACCTACCTTATTTTGCCAGAATTCAATGAAATAATGTTTAAAGATTTACCTATGGGCCTTATTCAACAATTATAGCTGCCATATCTTGAACAACTCCCTTCCTCAGGCTCAGTTTCCTCATTTGTAAATTGGAATTATTTATTTAAAGAAACCCCAAAACCCTCCACTCACAGGATTGCTGTGGTTTAGAATACGGCTGTGACATACCCATGACCCAGAAATTGGTCACCTCCCACCTGCCCTTAGGAAGCCCGTGGGCTCTGGCACCAGGGCATGTCCCAGACCCACCTTGTATTCCCTTTCCCAGACCTG